ATTTAGAAAAGTTCTACCAAATTACTAATATTTTACCAATATTATTATATTATTAAGTTTACCAATATTATTAGGTAATATATAATTAGTCCTGCATAGCTAATTTTAATATAATTTATTTTTTTATTGATTTTAATTCAAATTGCGCATGTCTTTCTTTCAGAATCAGCGAATCAGATTGCTTTTATCTGAGGTGATTCTGAGTCTGTATAGGGTTTCAAAATATGCATAAGGGAAATTGTTGCTGGGGCTCAGCCCCACCCGGAAAAATGTAATAAATACGTAAAAATAGTAAGCATACATAATATAATATGCATAATATAAACAAAAATACTAGTATTTTCGTGAATACTAAATATATAGTTTTTTAAGTTTAAGCGTAAAATGCCATTTTGTATGAATTTATGAGTATGAGAATATGAATTTCAAAGAATTTATTCAGGGTTAGTAATTAAGTAAAAATAAATTTAAAAAAAATTAAAAAGATTCGACTTTTCAAAAGTTTTTCAGAAGATTTTGTAAACCAAAATGTAAACCAAAAGAGATCACTCATACAAACAAGCCAAAAAGATTTAAAGGCAAGGGTGGCAAACAAAAACACAAGAGCACATGCTAAAATATAAACTCTAAATTTTATCATATATTACCCAGCGGGCACAGACGTCAATCAAACGTCTTAACTAGGTCGCGACGTCTCAGACCAAATTAGGACGTCCTAAAAACGTCTGGTAAAGACGTCTTTGTTAGGACGTCCTTGTGACGTTAATATAAAGACAATATCAGGACTTCAATATTTAGACGTCCTATTGACGTCACTAAGACCTTCATAAGACGTCCTAATTACCTTAAAAATAAGTAGAAAAATTAATAATATCAACTTGGCGCATACAATATTATGCGCAAACTCGGTTATTTAAATATGTCTACTTGTTTTGGTTGATTATTTTAAGACTATTATTTTGTTTAGTTAGGTAAGTAAATGATTCCATCGCGTAAAGTTAGGTCTCGTAAAATGTTCCGCAATTGTCCCGCTTCACGTCCAGGACAATTTATTTTTGCATTTATAATTTAATTTATGAAATAATTAATATTCTTTAAATGTGGAGCACGTTTTCACCTGTTTATCGTCGAAGATTAAATTTAAATTGGTAAAAAAATTATTATTAGAGATAATAATAATTTAAATTTATTAGAAAAAACAACATTGAGTAGAGGTAATACAAGACATTTTAACTTTTTTAGACAAAATATTTTAAATTTTGAATATAAAAAGCTTATGTTGATGTTTGTTTTATTACTCGTTTAAAAACATTTCTCAGGAATGACATTCCTGAGAAATTTAAAAATTTAAAAACATTCCGAATGTTTTTAAACGAGTAATATAATATAAGCTTTTTATATTCATAATTTAAAATTGTCTAAAAAGGAATTTCCTCTACAAGCACGCTTTAAATGAAGTATCAATTTCCACGTTTGTATGTTACTGTTTAAATTTTTTTAGTTGTTATTTCTCAAGAAGGAAGTTGGGTTACTGTAGAAACATACGTTAAAGTACTTTTTTTGATACATAACTACGAAACAGAGGCTGTATCAAAGTTTTCATGCTATAGTGCTGCTAAAAACTATGGAAATATGGGTATGACAATTTTAATTAAGTGTTTTTAAAATGCAATTGCTAAATTTTAATTTTCTTTTATATTTGTATAGTTATTATTGAAAATGTTTGTTGTTGTTGTTATCTTTAAAAATTCTTCTGCAAAACACCACAAAATAAGATGATTCAATATCATTTAATGGTACTCCCTATATGGTTTTAGGATGTAAAGTGCTTGATTGTATGCACGGGAATGATAGAAAAACCTCTTCTAAAGAAGTTTATAAAATTCATTTATTATTATAATATGTTTTTCTTTATTAATTTGTTTCCAAAATAGCTCCTGTATTTAATGATTATATGTCTAAACCTTTTATTTTTGTCCTTTTGTCTAATTTTCTTAATAGGTATCAGATCACAGTTTTTCAAAAAGCTATTTGCTATATTTAAATTTCTTGGTCACCAAGAAATTTAACTGTAGTTTTCAAATAAAAGTTTAGAAAGTTTAAAAGTTCCCAAGTTTTAAGGTTTTATTTCTTTGTTTGTTTAATTTATATTATTGAAATGAGATTTAAGTCAGTCCTATATTAACTATTCAAAACATACATGCATCAACTTAAAATATAACCAATTAATTTATGCTAATTCTTTTTAAAATAAACTTTGTTTTAGATTGCTGAGGATACTAAATTTAGAAGAGTGCAATTCTCAAACCGTATTAAAGAAGCTTTGTCAAGAAATAAAGTAGTAAGGGAAAGAGTGTTTCCAGTTTGCTTTCCTTCAAAAAGTTCTTATACTGGTCATTTTACTAGAGATGTAAGATTTCTTTTTTTTGTGTGTGTGTAGATAAAGTTAAACAATAGATTTTAAAAGAAAAAAAACATTAAAGAGTTATCCAAATTAATTTTCATTTCTTGTTTGCCTGTTTTAAACATCTTAAAGTTAGTTTATTATTTCAAACATGTTATTTAACTTGTTTTGTCATATAACATTTATTAAATTTTAACATTTATATTAATATGTTTCCATTTATTTAAACCAACAACAATAAGGTTGTAGTAAATCTTAATTGCTATTTTTATTGCTGTTGTTTAGGAACTTTAGATTTAATATTGTTTAAAATATGTATAAACTTTCTTGTGTTCAGTATATTTAGTATATCATATTTAGTATCTTGATCCAGATTACTTAAGGCCTTAAATTTAAATGCCTGCTCCTACTGATGGTTTTGTTATATACTCGGTATGTTCTTGTACTATTCCTAAAATATGTAATATTGTTCATACAAACTTCAATATTTTCACCAGGGGTGGGTTTTGTAACTCACCTAGGAGGTGGCTAAAATGGTTTTTTAAAAAAAAGGTCTGCATTTTTTCACTTAAAAGTGACTTTCTTTTTTAACTTTTTGAATCAATGAAGAGAACTGATCTATCAATCATTTTTACAAGCAATCAATAAAATATCTCATTGGAAGTAGGAAGAAAGAAGCTTGTACTATTGTAAAATAAAATGATATCTTTTTCTGTAGCATTATATATATCAAAGTGTACTTTATTTTAGATCTAATTACATGATTTCACATTTATCCTTATTAAAACTGATTAGCCTTTTTTTTTTCCAGTTAAATAAGATGTCAAGATCAAACTGTGTAGAGTGATTTATTTATTTTTTTTCTAATTGAGTTATTTTCTAAATTTTCGAAATATTTTCAAAAATTTCAAATACTTCTTCGAATATGCATCTTAAATATGGAATTTATATTTTAATAAAGATATAAATTTTATCGAAAAAGTCCAACACAAAGCCGCAAAAATTGGCTACAAAAGAAAGGTAGTAAGTTACGAGCAAAGATTAAAAGAAATGGGCTTACAAAATCTATCAAATAGAAGAGAAAACAGCGACCTCATTAAAATGTTTGAACTTATAAACAACCATGATATTATCAATTAGAACTGCGTTCCACAAGTATTGGGTAGGCTTACAGAGGCCACAATCAAAGGTCAAGAAGACATTTTGTTAAAAACTTTTTTGTTGCGACCAATTTTTTTACAAACTATATACAGTGGGTTGCCAAATTATTTGGGACACTTCACTTTTTGAGTAATTTTAAAGTTTAAATGATTTTTGCAAGCAAATAAATTTTTTTAAATAAAAAGTTTTGAGTGTATTTTAGTCACTAATATAACTATAGTTGTTTTTAAACTGTGGCAATTTGTGATAACCCGATCTGTCAAGAAGTTAGGTTATTACTCAATTAGCTGTCAGTTTTTGAAAAGTGTGGTTGAAAGTCAAAAATTCAAAATTGATTTCAGTTACTTATTTTTGGAACAATTTTTTGAGTTTAAAACTATTGAAACCTAAATATTCGTTAATAGTTCAATTAGTTTAGTTATTAATTTAGTATTTTTGCTACTTTTAATGCATAAATCCCTGACATACAACTATTCTTACCTCTCGTTATTTTTTTTAGTCTCCAGACTTAACCCAAAAAAAAAAAACAGAAAAGTAAGAACCTTACTTCTTTATTCTACACATTCTCAGAAAGAGGTTGCAAGTGTTTCAAAGTCAGCAGTGAGTCGAATTTAAAAAAAAATGATACAAATGTGACTCTAGAACCTGACCATGTCAGCAAAAGTGGCAGAAAAGGATCACTACTCCATGTTATGACCGTAAATTCAAAGACATCTGTCTTGAAAACAGAAAAAAAAGTGTGGCTCAACTAGCTATAATTATAAACAATGAAGGAATTAATGTCTCCAAAAGGACGGTTCAGGGACGGTTGGTTGAAGAGAATTTAGTGTGTTATCGTCCAACCAAAAAAAGAGTGTTTAACTGAAGCCATGAAAAAAAAAGTGACTGGAATGGGCTAGAAAACACCAGAATATGACTATTGAAGAGTAGAGTAGATGGAGTAGAGTAAATATAATTTATAATATTGTAAGAAACCAGAAAAATTTAAGGATAAATATTTATTTTTGAAATGTCTTTGAAATATTTTGAAGGTAAAATATCTTTAAAATATTTTACAGGTCTGCTTCTTGGACCAATCAGCATTTCAAATTTTAATGGACAAAAGCTCATTTGTTCGACGATGCCCAGAAAAAAATTTCACTAGGACTGCTTTTTAGAAAAGGTTCAACATCCTGTGAGTGTAGGGGTGTGGTCTGTGATCTCAGCCAAGGGTATGGGCTGCCTTTACATTGTGGAAGGAACCATGAAGCAGGATTGGTCCTGCCATATGGTTCCTTCCTACAAGCGATTACTGGAAAATAGGCTCCTGCTCCAGGTCTAAGAATGGTTCATGCATGACTCAGCACCGTCCCATAAAGCTAGAAGTGTTACAGCATTCCTAACTGAAAAAAAAGTGCATGTTTTGCCATGGCCAGGGAATTCACCTGATATTAACCCTATAGAAAATTTATGACAGTTCATAAAACAGAAAATTGCCAAAAAAAATTATCACTACCGAGCAGCAATTGATAGAAATCCTTATAAGAGAGTGGAATAGCAACCTCAGTCTCCAACACAATGCAGAAGTCTACATAGATAGCATGCCCAGATGCCTGAAAGCTGTTATTGTAGCTAAGGGTGGCATTACAAAATATTAAGATTATTACCTTATTTGTCATGTTTTCAAACTTTTTATAAAAAAATAAATAGCAATGAATAAGTAATTATGTTGTTTTATATTCTAAATAAAACTCTCTACCAATAAAAACAATTTAAAAAATAACAATAAGATACATATTTATTCATTAAAGTAGTTTGTACTTTAAAATTACTTAAAAAGTAAAGTGTCCCTAATAATTTGGTAACCTACTGTATTTAAAAAGTGTAATTGTTTGCATAGAAAAGTTGTCAATGCCATTTCAGTAATTGATTTCAAGAAAAAGTTTAAAGAATTTAGCTTTGATGAATTTGTTGATGATTTTTCAAGATTTTTTTTGTATTACTTTGTTGTGATATCTTTCTACCATTAGCATCTATCTACCTTTTGATATCCATCTATCTTTATTTGGTATGCCAGCTTTTATACAATTCTGGCCTTCTTAAAAGTGTTGATAAAATGCAAAGAAGATTAGAGATCATTGCCTTAAAAGAAATATTTCAAAATAATGTGTGTCCAATAAGATCAAATAAAAAGTTCTTCCTATCAAATAAAATTATTTGTAATCATATGCTTTTGGTGTTTAATTATATAAGTTGTACACCAAATAAGTCTTTTGTGTTCTTTTAACAAGTGGCTGCAAATGTTTATAATGTATTTGTTACATTAAGAGTTGACACATTTTTGTTATTTTAAAGTTCTAATAACTGTTAAGTTATTAGAAAATAAAGAATAGAGTTAAAGAGTAACAATTCAGTTTTTTTTTTTTTTTTTACATTATTCACCTCCCCAAGGCCCGAGGGGGCCACTACAGTCGAGGAGGCTACTCATTTTTTTGTGTTTTTTATTTTTTTTTGTTGTATTTCGTGGTACAACCCTCTCTCAACTCTTTAACTCCGAAACACGAACCTTGACAAGCAAGGCCGCTGCGCGGAGAAACTAAGTTGAGCGCGGTACTTCCAGGGACGTGGTGGGAGTCGAACTCCGAACCTCTCGCTTACAAAGCGAGCGCTCTTACCACTACACCACTGCCGCAGTTGACACAAGAATTAAAAATTTGTAGGCTGTATGAGTTAGAAAAACATGATTACGGGAGAAAGTTCCAAAGGGTTCAATTAAGGGGAAAAAACTAAACAAATAAAATTTTTTATGGCATACAGGGACAGATACAGTAAAGAGGTGAGACTTTGCTAAATGAGGAGTCAAGCAAAAATGAGTTTATGGAACTAGAGATGAAAGCTCCTTTAAGTAGGGACCATGTTAGTATTTGTAGAACAGAGATGCAACTTGACGACGTTGAAAGAGAGGCTCTAGCTTGACAGATAGAGCAGGTACTACACAACTACATTTACAATGCATATTTGGACCTTATCTTGAGAAATAAGAGCATCATTTGAAGAACCAGTCTAAATATGACAACATTATTCCAAACAGGGGCAAAAAAGAGATTAGCTGAGGTAGAAATGAAATCGGGAGTAAGAAAATGGCAAGCACGATAAAAAGAAGCAACTTTAGCAGCTGCTTTTTTTTTTGCAATTGTGTATATGGTTTCCATGAAGGGTCATAAGTGAATAATAATCCGAGAAGAGGACTCGGTGAAGGGCTTGCTATTTATCAATATAGGAATGTCAACAGTATTGCTATTTGTATAATGTAGTTATTTGTAGTAAATAACTAAGTTTGGTTGAAGTTTAAATTCACAAGCCACGCAAGCCTCAATCTGTTACAGTGGTTAGATCAGATTCAAGATTGAATTTTTGTCAAGGCAGTAGTATAAAGTTGAGTCACCAGCAAATAGAGCCACTTAAGATGTAAGGTTGCCTGGAAGATCACTAATATAGATAAGAAACAAAACAGAATTGAGGATAAAACCTTGAGGTGCCGCAGAAGTTACTGGAAATGAAGAAGAGTGTTGGCATTTAAGGATGACTTTAAAGTGGTTCAAATATTTATGATTTTTATAAAAACTGGAGTATATAATTATATCATCAGCAAATTGAGCAATTAAACCACTTAAGAGGTAAGATTGTTACATAAGATCAATACATTAATATAGAAAAAAACTCCCTTTGGTGTGACCTATATGGACAATATTAGGAGATAACGAGAAAGAGTTTCAAATTAAGGCTTTTTTTAAATGTGTTTTTATTGTAGGCTTGTTCTCACTCTCTTTTTATTCGTAAGTCCTAATAAAATTAATGATCTGTTTTTGAGCACTATCAATAGGAATATTATCACTGTACAAAGTTATTGGCTTTTTTTTAGGACACTTATTACTTAAGTATAAAGACGTCCGAAACTTGTGTTGTTTAAAGAATCTTAATGTAAGTAAAGATGTTGCTACAAAATAATAACAGTTTATGTGATTAGGAAATTATTTGTTTATTTAGTATAAAGTTTAAGTCTATAATATATTTTTTGAGTTATTGTTTTTTTAAACTTATTTCCAAATAACTTTGAGTAAATTTTTATGTTATTGTCAGTCATTTATGTCAGGTCAGGTTTATCCTGCTACTGGTAACATGTAACCCAGTACAATCTGCTTCATGTCCTGCTGCCTTGTAGAATATGCCTTTTTAGGAAAAGGCTAGGAGATGCAAACTCTGACATAAAACACCCCCTGCCTTGGGGCTCTTGGTTGAGTAAAGGCTAGAGATGGTGTCTCGATAAAAATACTCATCTTGGGCAGATGTTACATGCATCCACCTGCTGTCTTGTAGAAGGTCTCCTAGGCAAAGACTTAAGGGGTAAACAGATTTTATCTGTTGACCAGCCTCGCACCCCTTCCTCATCTATTAGGCTGGCGCAGATGTATTTTTAATACATTGTTTCCAGTTTAGGATGTTGAACGCTGGATCTTCTTGACTCGATTCATGGGTTTTGCTTGTGTCTCTGTTTTTATGACTAGGCAACTCATTCTATTATCTTCAAATGAGGGTACAGCTCTAAAACTCAGTTTTATGGTTCTGAGGCCGGCTGGTAGTCAGGTTTCCCGAACTCTGTGGTAGCTCTCAGAGAGGCTGATTCCATCAACAGCTGAAAAATATCAGAGTACTAACAGTGCCATGTTGCGCATGGATGGTGTCCCTGTTTGTACTTTTGGTGTGCATTGCCAAGGCCACATTGGAGCCCTTTGTTACGGGTTAGGGTTTATTAGTGAAAATGAGGCAATTGCTTGAGCTATAAAACAGTGTACTGAGTACTATCTATGTTTCGAGTCAAGTTCTTTAAAAAATCTAAAAATGAATAAAGTAACAAAAACTATAAAGCACAAAAAACCACAGTCATCACCAAGTTTGCTAAACGTATCATTCACCAATATTCGTGGTCTTCGAAGTAACTTTTCTTCTATTGAGTCTTACCTCTTGCAAAGTTCACCAGACCTACTTGCTCTTTGTGAGACTAATTTGAGTTCAGCTGTTTCATCTTGTGATCTTAGTGTTTATGGTTATCTTCCTTAAATTCGTAAAGACTCCAATAGTCACATGCTTGATCCTAGTCAGTGCTCTGTTTTTTCACACTCACCCTATAGGTGTGTTTGATCATGGTTTGGTCTCTCTAAAACTATTATCTCATTCTTATTTACCATCAGAATCCCCCTATCATCGTACATCTTACAACTACCTTCTAAGTAAGCCTAACTAAGCTGACTGGGACTCTTTCCGTGATTTTCTTTGTGATGGCCCCTGGGTAGAAATCTTTCGTCTCCCTGTTGACAAATGTGCTTCTTACATAACTTCGTGGATTCAGGCTGGCATGGAATCCTTTATTCCCTCTCGACGAATTCAGATCAAGCCTCACTCTTCTCCATGGTTTTCCTCACATTGTGCTGCTGCAATTGCCAATCGAAGCCATTACTTCCATATCTATCAGCAAAACAATTCTCCAGAAAACAGACGTCTGTTTATTACTGCTAGGAACCATTGTAAAAAGGTTTTGTCTAACGCCAAAGCTCGCTATTCTCAGATCATGAAATCTCGTATTTCATCACAAAAATTAGGCTCTCGTGACTTCTGGAGAATCTTTAATAGTATCAATAATAAGGGCAAGTCTGTAATTCTACCTCTTTTGTATGGTTCAGACTTTGTCACCTCACCTTAAGACAAAGCTGAATTGTTTGCCAAGAACTTTTCATCAATATCATCTCTTGATGCCACTAGTTGTGTTTTACCTGATATAGCCGTCAAATAGGTTGATCCATTGCTCAACATTTGTATCACTCCAGCTTCTGTATCTAAAGTGATTTCCCGCTTAGACTCTTCTACAGCTTGCGGCCCGGACAACATACCTGTTATAGTCTTGCAGAAGTGTTCTCAGGAGCTGTCGTCTATCCTTTCAAAACTATTTAACAAGTGCTTATCAGAGTCTTTTTTCCAGCCTGCTGGAAAGCAGCATCTGTTATCCCTATTTTTAAAAATTCTGGAGAGCGATCTGATTCATCTAACTACCGTCCCATTAGTCTTCTTCCTATCATAAGCAAGGTTTTTGAATCTTTAATTAACAAACACTTAATCTCTCATCTCAAATCTCATAACCTACTTTCTGATCATCAATATGGATTTCGACCTTCTCGTTCTACGGCTGATTTGCTATCAGTAAAAACCGATAGGTTTCATCGCGCATTAGATAAAGGTGGAGAGGTTAAGGCCATCGATCTTGACATTTCTAAAGCGTTTGATAAAGTTTGGCATGCTGTTCTTCTCCATAAGCTTTCTTCTTATGGTGTATCTGGAAACATCTTTAAGATTATTGAATCCTTTCTTTCCAATCGTAGTATAAAAGTTGTCCTTGATGGACAGCACTCTTCTTCTTATTCTGTAACCTCAGGGGTTCCCCAAGGTTCAATCCTTGGCCCTATACTCTTTTTAATTTACATTAACGATCTTCCAGATATTCTCACATCTAAGGTGGCATTGTTTGCTGATGATACTACCATTTATTCTTGTCACGATAAGAAGCCAACTCCCTCTGTTTGCTTGCAGGGGGCATCTGAGCTTGAAAACGATCTCACTTCTGCTACAGCATGGGGCTTACAGTGGCTGGTGAACTTTAATTCAGATAAAACTCAATTTTTTTCGGCCAATCGTTATCTCAATAATTTAGACCTTCCTATATTTATTAATGGTAATGTACTCAATGAGTCTCCTACCCTTCATCTTCTAGGATTAACTCTTACTTCCGGTCTTTCTTGGAAACCTTATATCAAATCAGTTGCAAAATTAGCATCTGCTAAAGTTGCTTCTCTTTATCGAGCTCGTCATTTTCTTACTCTGGATTCTATTCTCTATCTCTATAAATCTCAAATCCGGCCTTGTATGGAATACTGTTGCCATATCTGGGGCGGATCTTCTAATGATGCTAAAGGTGCAAAAACGCATTGTAAACATAGTTGGACCTGCTCTTGCAGCCAACCTTCAACCTCTGTCACAATGTCGTAATGTTGCTTCTCTTTCTCTTTTCTACAAATACTATAATGGGCACTGCTCAAAGGAGCTAGCGTCTCTTGTGCCATCTACTAAAATTCATTCTCTTGTTACTCGTCATTCAATCAAGTCTCATCCTTTTTCTGTTACTGTTCCTAAGTGTTCCAAAAAATTATTATTTATATCTAATATAACTAGCGAATTTTTGTTTTTAAAATGTTATTTTATGTGTTTTTAAATTCCTTTTACATCAATCAATCTTTTTAAATCAAAATGATTCAGTTTATTTTATATTTCTCTATATCTATATGTATGTTTTCTCTTAAGAAAAATAATTAGGAATAGGAAAATTAAAAAATATTCTTTATATATTTATATGTTATATAACATTAAAAAAATATATTGTGTTTTATAGTTAGTATATATGTTTATAATGTTGTTTCCATGATTTCAAAGTGGTGTGACTTGGCAAACTTGTAGAGCAATATTTGTCAACCTTACCATTCAAGCAATGTTACTGCTTTAGGTCTAAGTTTTGTCTAGCCTTTAATATAACTATACTAAAAAATACATAATATTATCTTTGATAATTTTTTGCTTAATGTTGTCACCTTTGGCTTATCCTTATGTTGGTGTCTGTTGTTTAAAAATGATTAATAGGTACTTTCATTACTAGGACTCACTGCTTTTATTTATTTACTAAAAGTCATTCAAGACATCATTTCGCTATAAATACATTTAGTTTATCATGAAATAAAAATATTTAACAACTACAATTCAAGTATCACAACAGCTTATCTCTATCAGGTACATTGATTTTCAATTCATGTATTATGTTTTTGTTTGTATTTACTTATTCGTTACATTTTTTAACTTCAGATTTATCATATGGTGTATTTATTTGTTATAGAAGAACAAATCATTTTAAATTTTTATGAATTTTTTAAAAATATCTGCTGGTAATTAGTCCAGTCAACATTTAAAGTTCAATATTGCATATACCATTTTTAAGTAGTTTCTAGGCTTTTTTAAATGCTTTTCTTATTCAAGTGGTTTTACAAGCAAGGTCTGCAAGTAAATTAGAGCTGAAAAGTTTTTCAGCTTTCAAGGAGAATTAATCTGTTTAATTTAATTTGTTTAAGTAGAGAAGTTTAAATAAATGTTTGTTTGTTTTTCGTTTTTTACTTATTTGTTTTCGGATTCTTAAGAACTAGGCAACTTAGAGAAGCAAGATTTGTTCTTTTTTTTAGTACAATTAAAAAGAGCTGAAGTGCTTTTTAGTCACTTCAAATCAATTGTTTGTTTGTTTTTTAAATAGAAGGATTAATAATAATAAAAATTTTTAGACAGTTCAACTGTTACTGAATTGAGTAAGTTTAATACTTTGTTTTATTTTTTATTGAATTTATTTTATATTAGATATATTTTATGTATTTAACATGGAAAGCTGACTGTAATTTGTTTAACAGGTAAGTTTATATACATAAATGTGCCTATATTTCAGTATATTTTATGTTTCTCTATCTATATAAATATTATCTCAAATAAAAAATAAAAATAAAATTTTGAATATATATATACATACATATGTTACTTTAGACTGACATTGCTTCTTTTTTTTATAAAAGGTTCTGCATTTATTATTTTTGCGCATTAAGATTGTGCCTGAAGGTAAAAATAACTTTGTGCATTGTAGTCTAAATTCTTTGTTAAATTAAAAATAATGTAAAAAAATTTTGTTTTATATTTTTAATGAACAACTTCTTTATATAAACTTATAAAAATATATGAATATCAATAAATCTTAATTTAAAATATAGTCTTTGATTAGAAAAGATCACAATTTATAAAATTATTTTAAGTTCATTTATTCATTTGTAACAGTAGTATAATCACTGGTAATGTGTTTAATGATAACATATGTATAATATTAGGCTCGAAGATGTTTTTAGTGTAAATGGTAATAGGTGACTTGAAAAAAAATTGTTGTCAAATGAAAGAGATAGATTTAGACCTGATAAAATCAATTGTCGTTGAAATGTAAGAAATTCTGCTCGATGAACAGAAAACTTACTTGCCAGAATTCATTGTCAAGCGGTGTTGATGTCTATTAATTTTATTTTACATTAGACACTTAAGAATAAAGCAAGGTATGAATTTTACTATTTATAGTAACAATTAATAACAGTTTCAATTTTAAATGATTTTAATTTTTTTTTTTTTTTTTTTTTTTTTTCTAAACATTTTGTTCTTTTTTTATTAGTTGCCTTTGAATCACTTGATTATTTTGCTTACTGTTGAAACATGGTTTTAATTTTGTAAATTTAATATGATGTGAAATTTACTTTATTAATCATTAGTCAATAGTTAGAGAGAAGCTGAATCTTAATTAAGCAATGCTGGAAATTAACTTTTAATTCAGGTAAAAATAATTTTGTTCATTGGTAGCATAAAATCAGTTACTGTTTTTTATTGCATATCTTTTTTACTTTTTTTAACATGCTACTTTTGAAACACTTCCTCTCTCTCTCTCTCTCTCTCTCTCTCTCTCTCTTAGATGAGACTTAAAATACAGTAAGTACAGGTAGAATTGATAAAACTCGTGTAATTACTGAGCTCTTGCGCATTTTTCAATACTACAATTGATAATGACCATTTATAAGATATATTTTACGAATTGCTATTTAAAGATATAATTCTTTAAATTGTTCAACTATAGTTGTCCCTTGGTTGTTCAAATATTGTAATAAAGAAAATCTTTTTAGTTTCAAGTAATTTACTTTAGAGATCGTCCATATAACATAATGCGAAATTAAACTTATAGACAAAAGACATATCTCAAAAGTGGTGTTTCTCTCATAGCCAACTATATGTTTGCATGTTTAAAAACTAGAGCATTTCATAGTTTGTTTTTCACAATTGTTAAACATCCTATCAAGGTGAAAAGTGAACACAAATAGTGTTATACTTTCTATTGTTCTTAATTAATTATCTTTAGATTTTTATTTCGAAAATTTACTGTTAAAGGTTGTGAGCATTTGTAACTTTATTATTATTTTTTTTTTCCATAGTTTTTGATAAATATATCTGTCATTTAATATAAAATGTGTTTATATGTCTTATATAAAGTCATATTTGTTTATAGCTGTATATATGTTTATATTGAGTTGTTTCTATGTTTTCAAAGTGGTGTGACTTGGTATTATGTTGAGCAAGTTTGATATCCTTGCCAGCCAAGCGGTGTACTTATAGCAGAGGTCTGACTTGGCAGCATTTAATGCTAGGCAGTGTTACTGCTTTAGAGCTAGGTTGAGTTGTCTAGCCTTTTTAAATTATTCTGAAAACACATAATGTCTGTTAATGTTTAGCGTAATGTGTATGAGAGAGTGTGCAACCTTAATCTTTAAATCTAGCGTGCTTTAATGTCCTAAATTTGAAATAATTGAATAACTAATATTGAATATAAAAACAAATTTACTTTATTTAAAGTTTAATAAAAAGATAAATATAACTCTAAAATAATTTTTTAATTTTGCCTTTCATATTTTAATTTAGTTTGTTATTTTAACTGGATTTTATTGCTATGTGTTATTGTTGTGATGTTTTGTGTTGATAGACAGCTTGGCTTACCTTCGCGTTGGCGTCTATTGTTAAAAATGAATCATAGGTAGTTACATTATTGGAATTTACTGCTTTTATTTATTTACTAAAAACGACAACATTTTGCTAAAAGTGCAATTTAAATCTTAGTTTGATTTTTTTTTTTTGTTAATCCTTTTGTACTTCACAACAGATTTTATAGTTACATTTTTGATAAAAGTTTATATTAACTGCAATTAAAGTAACTATAAATAGGTAAATCAATTTTCAATTTTTATGAAATCGATTTACCAATTTATAGTTACTTATTTTGAAATTTGGTGTTTGTTTTTTTAGTTTTTTTTTTTTTTGTAATTATGATGTAATTCCATTACTTTTTATTTTAGATTTACGTTATGACACATAAGATTTATAAAAAAAACTGATTTCCTTTTATTGTAAGTTTTTGTTAGATAAAAAGATATAAATATATGCAATTAGTTCAATTTTTTTTTATATTTTATGCCTAATAATTTGTTGTACGTATCTTAGAAGATCTTTGTAAACGGGGGGTCGTAACTAAAAACCTTTAAAAACATCGAGAATACTGTAGTTTTGCGCATTTGTCAAATATTGATTTACTTATGTTTTATTTACATATTTAACTAATTAGTTAGCTTTGTCTGCATTTGCAACACTTTTGAGGAAAGAATAATTGTTTGTAAATAAAATTGTAAATCATTGTTTTACATTTTTATTATTTTAGTTAAAGAAAAACTTGATTACTCTTAATAAAA